TCAGAATTAGCTGAATGGGTAAGTTCAAAGAGGAGAGGTTAATGAAAGAACTACAGTATAGTGCCCCAAGATTCTATCCTTAGCCCTGGGTTAACAGTCTTTATCATTGAATTAGATAAAGACACCAATGGGATGCCTATCAAATTTTCAGTGGACACAAAACTAAAGGAGACAGCTAGTCCTTTGGATGACAGAGTAAGCATTCGAAAAGTTCTCAATCAGCTGGAATACTGAGCAGAATCTACTAAGATGAAATTCACTAGGGATAGGTGGAAATTCTTACAATTGGGTTAAAAAAAATCAACTCTACAAGTGAAAAATCGGGGAGTTATGTATAGGGAGCCATTTGTCTAAAAAAGATTGGAGGTTTTCATGGAGTACAAGTTGAGTATGAGTCAGCAGGGTCATGTGGTAGCCAAGAATGCTAATGCAACTGCAGTGTGTACTGAGAGAGCTAGTCTAATGTCTTGCCTGAACTAGGGAGGTGATAGAGAGCCCTGATGTACTCTGTCCCCACCAGTCTGCCTCTGTAGTACTACATTCAGGTCTGGGCACCACATTTTAGCAAGGACATTTGATTAACTGGAGAGCTTCCAGAGGAGAATGAGCAAGAGGGTGGAGCTTTAAGTTTATCCCATATGCCAAAAGATCTGGAGTCATTTAGCCTGGAAAAGACAAAACTTAGTGAAAACATGATAGCGATCTCAGGTAATTGAAGGACCATCATTTGATATCTTGTTCTGCTTGGCCTCAGAAGGCAAAGCTAACGGTAGCAGGTGGAAGTTGTTAAAAAGCAAATTTAGGTTCAATGGAAAGAGGAACATCCTAACAAAAGTAGTGTGGGCAGCCTTGGGAGGCAGGGGGTGACTTTGGGTCTTCAAACTGAAGGTGGGCTTTTGCCCCTAGAGTCCCTTCTAATTCAGAGATTCTGTGAATGTTTTCCTTTTAAAGTACCAGCAGGTGGTCTCAAGCAACGTATAGACGGTGCACATTTGTAAATCAGTTGTTTAACACATTTTCCCAAATAAGCAAACAAATGTTTTAAGTTTTTGTGGAGCTGAATCATAGCAGTAATGATGAACCAAAGTATTAGTTCAAATTCTTAGTCTAAGGATGGAGGGACCATGCCATGCTAGAGGAAGGAGGATGTTTCCTTCTACTCTTCTGGACTCATGGAAGGCTCTAGGCTACATAGTAGCTGTGTGATTTGTGCTTTAAGTGCTAGAAGGAATTTAGAGGAAAGGACGATCAGTACTGGCTTCAACTTTAACTGGGTCTTGAAGGTTGTGTAGGATTTGGATACGTGGAGGAAACAAAAGAATGCATTGTAGGCAATAGGTACAACATAAGGGAAAATTGAAGAATAGAAGCAGTATGTTTCTGGTTTCCTGCAGAACTTTGGACGCAAGGTTAGATGGATAGATAAGGTAGGACCAGATTATGGAGGAACTTGAAAGCCAGGCAGAGATGTTTAGATTTGATGTAGTAGGAAAAAGGAATCTATTTGAGATATTTGAATGGGAGATGACAGCGTTTTAAAAAGATGAATTCAGCTGCAGTACATTGGGTGAATCGAGTTGGGAGAATCCTAAGCATAAAGACCAGATGGTATAGTTGTTACAGCTGTACAGTTAGGAGGTGATAAAGACCTGAACTAATGAAAAATAAGTAAAGGATATTAGGATCAATCAATCAATAACTGTTTGATAAGCACCTATTGCATGCCAGCCACTGTGCTAAGTGTTGAGGATATGACAAAAACGAAAAGTCGTTGCTCTCAAGGAAGTGACCTATTAGATCACAGGATCATAGATTTAGATCTGGAAGAAACCTTAGAAGTCATCCAGTTCAATCCCTTCATTTTACAGATGAGAAGCTTTAGGTCCAAAGAGGGCATAAAAGTAAAAAAAATTAAGGGAAAAACATTAACAGTGTTGGTGATTGACTGAATGTGAGGAATCAAGGAGGGAGGATGAGCCAAGATGAGTCCAAAGTTTTGAACCTAGATGAATGATCATTGGGGCAGCTAGGTGGTACAGTGTAGTTCTGGTCTTGAAGTCAGAAAGATTTCTCTTCCTGAGCTCAAATCTAGTCTCAGACGCTAGCTGTGTGACCCTGGGCAAGTCATTTAATACTGTTTGCCTCAGTTACTTCATCTGTAAAATGAGCTGGGGAAGGAAATGGCAAACCACTCCAGTATCTTTGCCAAGAAAACCCCAAATGGGGTCATGAAGAGTTGGACATAACTGAACAACAATAACAACAACTTAATGGTTATTATATTTTATTTATATATGTTGCTGCAGGAAAAGCAACTCATAGTTCCAGGGTACTCAAAAGTGAAAGCACTTTCTCATGTCTGCTGTGGAGGTGCAAGATTAGATGTTATTTAGAGGTCACAATTTATTGAAAGGCATAGGTTATTTGAATTTAGTATGTTTCACCTCTGTTTTGAATGATACTAACCAGAAAACAAATTTCACCTTTTCTGTGTTAGTAGTAAAGGAGAACAACAAAATCAACCTTTCTTTACTCATGGAGTAGTAAAGAAGTTGATTGCATCAATATGGTTTGCCGTAGGGGTGGAAACTATTTTTACAAAACAATTGTTAAAGCTCATCTGTTGATGAGCAGACACTGGGTTTTGGTTTATGATCCCAATATTGATTATGCAATTTCGTTGAGAAGTTCCTGTTCCCTGGAAGGCAATGTCACCCCACTAAATTTGTTAGATAAGAAATATAGAAAATTGCATGATTTTTACAAACAGTGAAAGTGGAAATGCTGTCCTACAAGCAAAAAATTTAGAATGGGCTGGCTTAGATTTTATTATCTGCAAAATTGATTGTCATCAGAGAGAGTCTCTTCATTTTAGGCTCCCTTTGCAATGCAGGAACTTCTTAGATGATATTTACATTGTCCTGAGCCCTATTAGAACTGTCTTCTGTCTGGCCTTGGAGTCAGGAGGACCTGAATTCAAATCCAGCCTCAGATGCTTAACACTTACTAGCTGTGTGACCCTGGGCAAGTCACTTAACCCCAATTGCCTCACCAAAAAGCAAAAGCAAAAAAAAAGGTCTTCTGAGGAACTGATGACCTTCTATGGTCAAAGGCTATTCTGTTTGGAACAAATTTAATTCAAAAGGAAATTTTAAAAAGGCTGTAAACTGCCTCCTTTAAGGAGATAGGTTATTGTCAATCCTTGGAAACTTTCTCTAAGGGGAAGGAAACAAATAATTAAAAATATCAGATCATTTCACAGCAACTTTCTTTCCATTTCACAGGGAGTAAGTGATGGAAGAATGCTAGGAATAATTCACAATGTGGGAAATATGATGAACCCAGTTAATTACTATTCTGTTTTCAGGGATGCTGTTGCTTTAAACCTTGAAATTGAACTAGGTTCTAAAAGAAGCCAGTTGCTAAGGGATATCAAATAAGAAGACTATTAAAGAAACCAATAAGTATTTTATGTAGATTAAGTCTTTTTAACCTCAATATTCTCCCTGAAACAAAGGCTCATCTTTTTAACATCAATATTCTTCTGCTAATGCTATATAGTTTTGAATTGGGGAATACCACAACCTCTAAAGAAATACAGTTTCATATTGCCCAAATGGTGATGGAGAAGCAAGTAGTGGACATGAGTACTATAATGGTAATAATGGAAGATAGAACATATTTCTAATTAAGAAATATACAACAAAAACACTGCGAAGAGTATCAGAGAGATCTATGACCAAATAAGGATGTGGGCCAATGGTGTGGCCAGGAAACAGGAGACATAATTGATACGTGGCCCACATAGTCCAACGGCGTACGTGCAATGCCAAGAGATCTAGAGGGAAGCCTTCACAGTTCTGTTCTGTCAGTGTCCCAGCTCTGAGACTCGATGCATACTCATCAGTAGGATTCCCCACTGTGGGAACCAAGTTCATTTTCTTCTTTGATCCCTCTCAACACACAAGGTTGGTGTCCAGGAAGCAATATTCTTGCATTCCTTCTCAGTCTGTGTGCAGCCACCCATCTCTTACATCTATGTGCTTTTGCTACAAAATACCATTGCTGATGGAGGGAGGTTGGCAGGGGGAGAAATCCCTGCCCAATTGCTATACTCTATGAAAAGTGCACAGGAAGACATGAGCAACCATTACTTAAGAGCCCAGTCCTCCAGAATTGGCTCTCTTCACAACTTTCTATATAAGAGGTTGGAGTTCTGGAAGCAATGTTCTCAAATACCCCTTTCAGGCTATGTGTGTGTGTGGACATATGTCTCCTCTGTCAATGTGTTTTTGCTGCAAGACGGTGTGGATGGTGGGTGGCAGAATGAAAAGAAATCCTTCTCCCCAGCATACTTGTGCACATGTGCACACACACAGACACAGACACAGACACACACACACACACACACACACACAAACTGCCCTCCGATAGAAGCTTCCTTATGAGCTGTCTCCATTAGACTGGACTATACCAGGGTTGGTTGCCCTGTTTCTAACTGCTCAGTCTCTTCATTCTCCCATGTCAAGGAGTGGAGAATAGGGAGAAAAGACACCAGGGCAATTCAAGTCCAGGGAAAAGTATAATCCTTAGGGAGTTCCCTAACTCGTTCATTTGCAAATCTACTCAAAGTCTGAAAATAATTTTGCCCTACACTTAAAAATTGAAGATGGGTTGCTGGCATCTGAACTCTTAGTTTCATGTGATGGATTGGAGACTCAGTTGATTAGGGGTCCCACAGTCAGCCTTCTGCTACACTAGTAACGGGGTTTCTACATCCCACAGTTGCCCTAAAGCTGAGTTCCTGCCTCATTCCCCTGCACTATCCGGTACCCTGATCTTGCTATGGCTTGACTCCTTGATTTCTATACCCCATTGCCTATGACTGAGTCCCCAGAACTAGCTCTAAGCTTCTCTGATGCTGACTGCCACCCTGCTGGATGCCTGTAAATTATCTGGCTAACCATATTGCATTTTTCTTATTCTTTTCTCAATTTCAGATTTGTATTTGAGACTCAAGTCCCGTGTATCCATGCCAAGGAGAACTGATCTCTGACATGGTTCCCATGTTTATTGCTGCCTTTTGGCCAAAACTACAGGTCTGTCAGGATTTCCAGTCTTCTCCAGTCTGACATGTCCCATTCTTTCCATAGCTTTCCATGTTCCATTCTCATCCACTCATTCAAAAACCATTTACTGATTATTTATTTTATGTGAGATTTGCCTTTTGTTACTGAATAACCTTATTTTAGTTTATTTTTTGTACAAAAGAGAACTCATTATCTTTTCCGCCAAAAAACACTCTTCTTCTAAACCTTTCTTTTTGTCAGGGATACTTCTATTCTTAGAGTTACCAGGTGTACAAACTCAGAGTCATCCTCGATTCTTTCCTCTTTCTCTCTCCCAGCCCTACCCCCATCCTATCAATTGTCATCACTTCTATCTCCACAGCATCCCTCACATATGTCCCCTTTTATAGTTCATATACTCATCACTTCTTGCCTGAACTATTGCAACAATCTTCTAATTGCTCTCTCTGCCTTTGATTGTTCCCTTCTCCAATTCATTTTCCACAAAGCTTTAAAAGTGACATTCCTGAACATGACTGGCAAGTCTGTGGTATGGGTATACTCAGCATAGCTCCCTTACTCAACCATCTCAAAAAAAGCAAGTTTTCCATTTATTTGAATACCCTTGGATTTCATCAGACTCATAGTTTCTATGTCTGCCAGGCACATTCATTCATATGTAAAATGGAAGGGAGAGACTAGATGATCTCTAAGGTTCCTTCCTGGTCTAAATCCTATATTCTTGTGATCCTATGAGGGGTGGGAGGTTATCCTCAGAGTTCCTTTAATTTTAATAACTCAGATTATTAGTGATTTCGAATAACTTTGACAATTTCAGATTAGCTTTTGATAGTTTGAATCTCCATTTAAACTCTATCCGTGTCATTTGTTGTGTCTACCACCCAATTATGTTAAATTACCTTTTTTTTTAAATTAGCACTAAGTGGCTTTAATTTGTTTGCTTAAACCAATAGGATTCCAATTTCTACCATCTTGCTCTTGCACAGATATGTAGACAACCTTCTTTCTTTCCCAGTCCAGATCCAAATACCTTGATTACTCTTTAACTGTTGAAATTTTTTTCTTTCTTTCTCAGTCTATGTAGAAGTATACCCAGCTTTATGGAATATTTTATATAGCAGACATGCTGGTTTATTTTGCTTTTGGCTTCTCATAACTGGACTTTTCTTTCATATTTTATCCTTGGTTAATAGTCCTTTACAATTTGAAATTATATTTCTTGAAGAGTAAATTGTTCCCTTGTGTCTGCTTGAAAAATTCTTTATTTAGAGTTGAAGCTCTGGAACTTGTTGATTAGATTTCTTGATGATTTAAATATGGAATGCATCTTTGACAATGCTTTATGGATTCTCTCAAACTGCATATTGTTCTCTTTTTCCAGTACTTCTGGAAAGATTTCTTATATGATTTCCTAAAATGTAGTATTTGCATTGCTTATTTCATCATTTCCCCCTCTGAAATACCAGCGCTTCTCAGATTGTCTAGCTGATCTCTGTTTTCAAAATCCACAGCTTTAATTTGTGGAGACTAGTAGTATTCTTTCAGTTTTTCTAGAATTTTTAAAAAATGTGATTCATATATTTGCTGTTGCTTCTCTGTATTTTTGTGTTCAGTCTGTTATTTTCTTTTTTCAGAGCTTCCACTGATTTCATAATATTATACTCTTCCTGAGGAGAAAATTAAGAATTCCTTGATGGATCTGTTGTGCAACTGAATTTTAATTACATAAGAAAGAATATGATCTGAATTTTTCACCTGAACCTTCAACAAATGGTAAAGACGGCATCTCATGGGAAGATCAGGAATAAGAGAATGACAACAAAAATTAAGACAAAGAATAGTTGTGATAAAATTGAATAAAACATTATTATTGGAATCAGAATATGGTTTTTGTTTATTAATTTATTTATTTTTAGTTTTTATCATTTACTTCCACAAGATTTTGGGTTCCAAATTTTCTCTCCATCTCATCCTTCCCCCCACCCCAAAACGGCATGCATTTTGAATACCCTTTCCCCTGATCTGCCCTCCCTTCTATCTCCCTTCCCTGCCCCTTCTCTTATCCCCTTCCCTTTCTATTTTCCTATGGGGCAGGATAGAGTTCTATCCATGCCATTCCATGTGTATCTTATTTCCCAGTTGCATGTTCAAACAATTTTTAACATTTGTTTTTAAAACTTTGGGTTCCAAATTTTCTCCCTTCCTTCCTCCCCACCTACCCTCGTTGAGATGACAAGCAACTCGATACAGGTTATACATGTATAGTCATGCAAAACACTTCCATAGTAGTCATGTTGTGTAAAACTAACTATATTTCCCTTCATCTTATCCTGACCCCCGTTTATTCTGTTCTCTCTTTTGACCCTGTCCCTACTCAGAAGTGTTTGCTTCTGATAACCTTTCCCCTAGTCTGCCCTCTCCTCTATCATCTGCCCACTCTCTTATCCCCTTTCCCCCTATTTTCCTATAGGGTAAAATGGATTTCCATACCCAATTGAGTGTGTATGGTATTCTCTCCTTAAGCCAAATCCAATGAGAATAAGATTCACTCATTCTCTCTCACTTTCCCCCACTTCCCCTCCACTATAAAAGCCTTTTCTTGTCTGTTTTATGTGAGATAATTTACCTCATTCTACCTCTCCCTTTCTCCTTCTCCCAGTATAATCCTCTCTCACCCCTTAATTTTATTCTCCAGATATCACCTTCATCTTCAACTCACCCTGTTCCCTCTATCTATCTATCTATCTATCTATCTATCTATCTATCCATCTATTTATCTAAGTTTTTTCCCCTCCGACCACCCTAATACTGACAAAGGTCCCATGAGTTACAAATATCATCTTTCCATGTAGGATGTAGACAGTTCAATCTTAATAAGTCCTTTATGATTTCTCTTTCCTGTTTACCTCTTCATATTTCTCTTGAGTCTTGTATTTGAAAGTCAAATTTTCTATTCAGCTCTGGTCTTTTCATTATGAATGTTTGAAAGTCCTCTATTTCACTGAATGTCTATTTTTTCCTCTGAAGGATTATACTCAGTTTTGCTGGGTAGGTGATTCTTAGCTGTAATCCTATCTCCTTTGCCCTCTGGAATATTATATTCCAAGCCTTCTGGTCCCTTAATGTGCTAAATCTTGTGTTATCCTGATTGTGTTTCCACGATACTTGAATTGTTTCTTTCTGGCTGCTTGGAATATTTTCTCCTTGACCTGGGAACTCTGGAATTTGGCTAGAATATTCCTAGCAGTTTTCCTTTGGGGATCTCTTTCAGAAGGTGATTGGTGGAGTCTTTCAATTTCTCTTTTGCCCTCTGGTTCTAAAATATCAGGGCAGTTTTCCTTGATAATTTCTTGAAAGATGATGTCTAGGCTCTTTTTTTGATCATGGCTTTCAGAGAGTCCAATAATTTTTAAATTATCTCTCCTGGATCTATTTTCCAGGTCAGTTGTTTTTCCAGTGAGATATTTCACACTGTCTTCTGTTTTTTTTCATTCTTTTGGTTTTGTTTTACAATGTCTTGATTTCTCATAAAGACATTAGCTTCCATTTGCTCCATTCTAATTTTTGAGGAAATATTTTCTTCAGTGAGCTTTTGGACTTTCCATTTGGCCAATCCTGCTTTTGAAGGCATTCTTCTCCTCATTGGCTTTTTGGACCTCTTTTGCTGTTTGGGTTAAGCTATTTTTTTAAGGTGTTATTTTCTTCAGCATTTTTTGGGTCTCCTTTAGCAAGCTATTGACTTGTTTGTCATGATTTTCTTGCATCACTCTCATTTCTCTTCCCAGTTTTTCCTCTGCTTCTCTTACTTGCTTCTCAAAATCCTTTTTGAGTTCTCCCATGGCTTGGGACCAATTCATATTTTTTGTTGGCAGCTTTGGATGTAGGAGCTTTGACTTCATTGTCGTCTTCTTTGATCTTCCTTGTTACCAAAGTAAGATCTGTAGTCTTAGTTTTTTCACCCCACTGTTTGTTCATGATCCCAGCCAATTACTTGACTATTAAACTCTTTGTTAAGATAGGGGTCTGCTTCCAGAGTGGAAAATGTACTGTCCCAGGCTTCGGGGGTTTTGTGCAGCTGTTTTCAGAGATACTTCTAGGGACCTGTAAATTTTCAGTTCTTGCAAGGTGCTATGATCAAGGGCGAGGTGTTTACTCCTTTTCTGGTCTGTGCTCTGGTCTGTCAGTGACCACAAGCACTCTTTTCTGTCTTGGAACTGTGAGGAGGATTCTCTCTCCACTGCCACCACAAGCTCCACCATGCTAGTGCTCCTTCTTGCCCCAGGACCGCCACTCAGAAGTGTGACCCAGATCCAAGCACAGGCAAAGCAAGATAATCCTGCCTCAGCACCAGCAAAGAGATCCCTTCAATCCTCCTCTGATCAGCCACTGGATTCCCCCTCTGTCTGTGGGCCAGGAGCTCCAGAAACAGCTGCTACCCCAGGGTTGCACCAGGACTGGGGTTGGGACCAACCTTTTCTCCCATAGCAGTCACAGACCTTTCCTACTGACTTTTTAAGTTGTCCTTGGCATTTGTGGGTTGAGAAGTCTGGAAACTACCACAGCTGCCTGTGATTCTGTCCTCTGAGGCCTGCTCCAGGTTCACTGAGGACTGGTCTTTGCCTGTGTGCCCACGCAGAACTGTGCTCCTCTTCCAGCCTGGTGCAGCAGGCTTTCCAACCAACCATCCAGGTTGTCTTGGGCTAGAAATTTGTTTCACTCTGTCTTTTTGTGGGTTCTGCTACTCTAGAATTTGTTTGGAGCCATTTTTACAGGTATTTGGAGGGGTTTGGGTGGGAGAGCTGAAGCAAGTCACTGCTTTCACTCCCCAGAATATGTTTTTAAAATTCCTCAGTGTACACTATATATGTAGTATAGGTAACCTAAATATATGTAGTAATTTTGTATGATTAATTTCCATTGTATATCTCTGTATAATCCCTGCACTTAGCACAGTGCCTTGTACATGGTAGATACTTAATGTTTGTTGACTTCGGGGGGAAAAGTCCCTCATCTTCTAAGCCATTGAGTCTCTTATGTTTCAGAATTTTACTTTACAAGTTCTAATTTCCCTCTTTAACTTTTTCTTTAATTCTTTTATTAAGTTTCTCACCTACCATGGGGAATCTTATTATGCCATTCTCATTTCTGAAAGTTTCATTGTTTTGGTAATACTATTTTTTTCCCTTGAAGAGTTCTCCTCCCTTTCTCTTACCCCATAGTACTTGCTAATTATATTAGGGTCTCTCTTTTATTTTCTAATTTAGGATACAGGCTGTCTCCTGGTTTTTCTGTGAAGTTTCTTTGTAAGGATTTTTTTCTTACCATTTTATTGTTCTTTAACTTCATTTGGCACATTTCTTGTTGTCTTAAAGGGTCTAAACATGAATACTCATATGTTTTATTAGAAGTCTCCCTATAAAATTTCCTTATGAGAATGGTCTATGTGCACATTAAAAGCGTCTTTAATGAAAACTCGAGGAGATAGTAAGTAGACTCTTGCAGAAGATTTTCCATAATAGAATCTATAAAAACACAAATTAACTTAGAGGTATAGCAAATATGTGCATCTACTATATTCATTGACTACCAAAAAAGAGGAGGGAATTATCTTGGATGAAAAAAATCTCAGTGTTGGAGAATTTCCAAACAGTGTATTTCCCATGCATATGTTAAGTTCATATAATATTTCAACACATTTGTTAAGCATCTACTATGTTTAAAGCATTGTGCTAAGTGCTGAGAGGATTTTAGATAAGACATAGTCTCTGTCCTTATTTATTTATAGCCTAGGATAGGACACAAGCACAAATAGCTATGATATATAACAAAACAAAGTGTTACAGAAGGGGAGGAAGGTTATTATTAGGCAAAGCATTTCAGGGAAGGCTTAATGGAGTAGGCACCCTATGAGTTTCACATGACAACAAGTAGAAGTTTAATAGGCAAAGTGGGAAGGAAGGAAATCCTAGGCAAAGGAAATGGTGAGAGCTAAGCTACAGAGGTAGGAGGGTATGTAGTGTATCCAGTGCCCAGAAAAGTAGACCAGTGTGGCTAGAACAAAAGTAGATAGAGGGTAATTGGGAACTAAGCCTGGAACTCATTTTGTTCATTTCTAAGTTCGTTAATATCTCCCTTAGCAAGTGATCAGGAGAAAAAAAAAGGGAAGTAAATCAAATCAGTCCATTTTATTACTTGTTAGAATTTCTGGTAAGATTTTTCTATAGGTTGAAGCTAGCTTAAATGAACTTATCTGTCATTTTCATTTGTCTGTGTCTCTCAAAGTAATTGAGAGTATCTGTTAAAAAAAATGAAAAGCAAAGGCTCATTTGAAAACTTAGATTTCCCCCTGCTAGAATATAGGCTGGTTTGTCAACAACTTAGTCATGAAAATTAATTAAATTAAATTAAAGTATGTATAAAACATAGTCTAAGACATTCAACTTAGATATAAACTATTTTTCATTGTGTATCTGAAGGACATCCATTTTTATAGTTATATTATTTTCATGTTACTTTTTTCCAAAAAAATTTAAAAGATTGCAAAGAAAAATATTAACATGTGGTATCTTGGTAACTTAAAACTACATATACTATTTTATCATAAGGATGTGTTAACATAAAGAAATAAAAGTGTTCCTCCTTCAGCTTTCACTTAAAAATAAATGCTCGTGCATTTACAATTCTTAAAGTTGAAATCAAACATATCAACACTGATTTTTCTAGTCTCCCTAGTGAGGCAAAAGTCTATTAAAAATCATTGGAAATAAATCAATAGATAAATAATAAATAAATAGATAAATAAATAGATAAATCAATAGATAAAAGAAAAGTTCTCATTTTCTTGGAGACTGTCCAATTAACTGCAGAAGGTATAACAACAAT